TATTGTAGCTTCTATGCTTCAGAATTTGTAGATATCTTTGAGACAAATGCTGAACCTTGAATCCATCTGTCAACACTGCACATTTATAGAAATGACTGTAGCCTAAAAAATCAAGCAAATAAACGAAAGCAAGGGCAAAAAAAAGTAAAGAGCACAATTATAATGACAGACTTGAGAGTCTGACAAAATATTTATAGGAGGACCCTGTCCACATGTTGTGGGTTTCCTCAGGTTAATCTAGAATTACATTATTTACAGTCTTTGCATTAACATATGCTCAAAGAAAACAGGCACTTCTAGATTAGACTGGGCCCATTTAAATGTGTTCAGAATTATATTATATGCCTTACTTATGCATACATTTTTGCATGTGAATTATGTCTTCCAAAATATTCATTGGCATTAGCTGCCTGTAAGAAATTCAACTATTTTACACTATACAGCTATAGACAAAAAAGCATTCATTCAAACAATATTATTGTAAATTCCATTTTTAAAAAAGAATTTTTACTCTCCACAATTTGAAAATCCTTCCGCATTTTTCCATTCTGTACTATGTATTCGGAATTGAAGGAATGTTTTTGTGAATATTTCCTTAGTGAAATTTAAATAAACTGTACTTACATAATCACTCCTTAACACTTAAAGTGTTTTAAAATACTTAAAAGATAAAGCTCTCCACACATAAATAAACAGTGGAAAAATAACTAGTAATTCATAGATAATAACACAGCATTATAAACTTCAGTTTGCCCTAATTCACACTTGAACTTCTATATATTTATAAGTGTGTAATAAATGAAAGTTGATAACAAAGCAATGACTGATTTAAGTGCCTGATCTTTAAATAACTAACAAAATGTGACACCCTCCCTTTTTTGTAATACATCCCTATAATAGCAATAAGATTGGCATTGGAGACTCCAAGCTCATTGCCTGAAATAAATGGGCTGAAGCTGGCACTACAGTTTCAGTGTGACTGCCTCTGACAGAATAACAAGAGAGTAGATTTAAGAATCAAAGACCTTTGAATGATGAAATGACCCTGTAAAATGGAACAAAGCTAAAGGAACATGAAAGTAATAATTACAATTTAGAAAGATTTAACTACTCAGCAGAGCACAAAGATGGCTGTAGGTATTGCTCTCCAAATAGCTTGCATTAAGAATTTTACATGTTAGTTATGCGCATTGCAACATATACACAAAAGTGCTATGGTCATTTTAAAATAAATAGATGTGGCAGAAGTTCTTTTAATGAAGCAGATTTTGGCCCACGAGAGTGTATATATTACTTTCATTTTGCCACTTGTTTTAGCTTTTTAAATATATTATTTTGGGATAATATTTGGGAATAAGTAATATTTTATTTATATATTATATATATTTTATATATATATTTATATATTTTATATTTTATATATTACTTATTCCCAAATTAACGTATAAAACTATACAAGAAACATACAAATAAAGTTAATAAAAGGGAAAAACACATTTTCATCATGTGTTCATATCATTACCTTCTCCCCTATTACTACAAAATAATTTATATTTTGTGGGTAAAGTTGAAATTCACAGCAGCTTCCAAGAAAGGAGGGCAAGTTCTGTTTGAGAAAAAATAATCTTAAGTAGCTGCTCATAATAAGGAGGTATAAGCTGACGAAGTGAAAAAAGTAGAAAGAATGAAAATGGAGCAGAAAATCATGATGAAATGAGAGCAAATGGAGGAAACAACAAGCAGTGGTTGTCTGAAAATATACAGATTTAAGAATATAAGGGAGGTATGTCCAACCTTGGCCACTTTAAGACCTGTGGACTTCAACTTCCAGAATTCCTCATTTAGCCCTGCTGCCAGGGGAATTCTAGGAGTTGAAGTCCACACATTGCTAAGATTGGACACCACTGAAATAAAGTCATCCATGATGATGGGAGGAGGGGTGGAATCAAAAAGTGCAGCTGAGTATTACTCCTTGTTTACTCCTTGTCTCTGCAATGCACATTTTAAAAAGGCAAGCTTTGAATTGAATGATTGTAGCTACCCTCCTGACTTTCTAAAATTCCCAAAAATTCTCCTTGAAACAAAGAGTTGGAGAAAGTTGACTAGTTGACAGGACTTTAGAACCTGGAGGAAGCTGGGGAAGGAAGATCAGTATATATTTATATTTATATATTTATTCCAACTAATTGGACAAATCTTACACAATCATTGGCATTCATTAATTCCAAGATTAGATAATGGCATATAAGTAAAAAGAAATACCATCTTTTATAATAGTGGTATTAGTATTTTCTTAATACTAAGAAAAAAATACCAACTCTTAAGATTTTTTTTCAGCATTTCTGCATCCAAAAGTCTCATTTGATTAAAAATGGTATTATTTATATATTACCTAGATTAGGACAAATCACTTTAAATAATAATGATGACAAAATGGCACATAATAGTTTGGACATTATTAAGCCTCATGTGAAACTAGTTATTGTGGCTTAGAAGTTCTTATGTACTATATATGTATTGAATCCATTAACACAATCCCCCATAATCCTCAGACCTAACAGAGAGAGCCAATTATATAAGCCCTTACTACCCAATGTTTTTTGACTATGACAGAAACCCCCAAAGGCTGAATATAAGGAACTTGAAGTTAGTAGTCTACCAATTATATTAAGGCCAATATTTCAAATATACAGGTGCTGTATATTTCAACAGTACCTGCCACAATGAACAATCTGATTTTTGATGAATTGCAGTGCTAACCATGCTAGAGCTAGAGACAAACCAGATTATATTCACACCAATGGAGCCCTTGTTGATTCTGAGCATCTAGTTTCCAAAGAGCATCCTTACTCTCAGCAACTTGTACCTTGAATTGCAGCAGAAGTAGTCATGGTCACAATTGAGTCCAAAATGTCCATTGTTAAAAAAGATAGTTAAGTGATATTTGAATTTGGATCACCTGACTGTGGGGATCTGTTGTGCAAAAAACAGTCATAAGTCACCTTTTCCAGCACCATTGTAGCTTCAAAAAGTCACTAAAATGAATGGTTTCAGATTGAGGACTACCTGTATAATCTTTGCTGATTTGCTCTGCTAGTTCCAGAACAACATCAAATTCTATTTCCTGTCACTAGTAAGAGTTAACAATCTTTTTGAATTTTCAGTCCCTGTTCTTGGAGTTAGGTTGCAGATATTTAGCTGTAAGATATTGAGTGTTACGTTGTCACAATGATCAAGAACTAGCATTTTTCCCTGCCTATGGTTTGGTATTCAAGCATATAGTTCAGCATAATGGGACACTGCCATTGATCTCTTTTCAAACACTGAAAACCAGAATATTGAAAGAGGGGGGGGGGGGGGGGTTGATCCTCAAAGAGGACCATTTTTTTTAAGGAAGTAGAGAATGTAATTCTCTACTTCTCTACAACATCAAAAATTATTCAGAAGTGGTCTTGACTGTATACAATCATAATTTCTTCTATAAATGAAAATATATTTTCTTTTTAAGACCACTTTATGTACTAATGCTTTATGACCCAAATTAATTTCAGTGGGTAGTTCAAGAGTGGCAGCATTCTTTAACAAAAAAAATCAGACAACTTTTAGACAACAGATAGTCTTCACTTAACAAACATAATTGGGCATGAAATTTTGATCTAAGTTATTGTGATCATTAAAGTCATTTTTACAATAGCCATTAAGTAGGTCACCATGGTTGTTAAGTAAACATTGTGATTATTAAGCAAACCATGTGGTTGTTATCCATTCTCCCGAATGGGTGTTTTCTGCTGGAAACCAATAAAAAACAGATAAAATTGATCAAAAACAAAATCATTGTCACATGAATTTTGGATGCTGCAACTGCTAATAAATGTGAGCTGGTTTCTAAGTTCCTGAAATATGATCAGTGCGTGTGTGTGTGTGTGTGTGTGTGTGTGTGTGTGTACGTTATAACTGAGGATGAGATGTACATAATTGGTTTTGTCTGTTGTAACATCTAACAGTCATTAAACAACTGATTGTTAAGCAAGGACTGCCTGTATTACAGATAAGCCATCCTTGTGTAAGTCTAAAGCATTTCTTCTGAATCATTTTCTATGCCACCTTTCATATATATGAGGGCTTGTGAGTTTTTGTGTGTGTTTGTGAGAGTGCACGTGTCCCCCTCAAGATTATATAAAATGGTATTCTGCTATACATTCAGGCTGTAGTAACATGTAAAGAAGACAGAAAGATATCCATCCATAATTTGTGGAGAGTTTAAGGTTTGAATTCCTTAGGTGATCACCCTGTTATTAATTTTGACTGCTGTGTATTACAACCAGATTTTCATTCACACTTCATTTCTCAAACAAACAAGCTTTTAAAGTAATATTGAAATTTTTTTTATCACTAGACTCTAATAGATTGGCTGGGTGAAACAGCAAAGAAATTGTTGATGAGAATAAGTATGGTGTGTGTTGTTGTTTTTAAAAAATAAGGAAAGAAGCACAAACGTTTCAATTTGGAAGTCTGCACTCTTAAGCCTCTTAATTCTTAAGCATGCATACCTCTGGTTTGGAAATCAGCCCAATGGTATCAAAGAAAATACTGTAGAATATTTAAACAAAATTGCTTTAAAAATAGATCTCTTCGAAGATGGACTGAAAGAAAACAAATTACCTTTTTTTCCCATTCAAAACTCATGATAAGTATCAAGTTTAACTTTCAGGTAGAAAGTCACAGCAGAACAGCTGAAAACTACCAACAATGGGTTTGGTTACAATATCTAATTCACTCTTACATAAAATGCATCTATGTTATAATAGCTAAGGAATGCATGTAATTTAAAGAGGCTTGCCATAGCAAACACCAAGACTGAACATATGTCATTTAATAGATTTCCAATCTATTTTGCTTGTTCTTTTGAATGCAATAGTTTCTTTCTTCCAGTTGAGAACTTGATTAGCAAATAAGTCAGACTGTCTTTTATTCTTATTAAACTAGATCAGAAAAGCAAATCAGAAGAAATACTCCTTTTGATTTTCATTGATTGCATTTTGCATGTTGATCTCATTTTTCAGGACAGTCTCTGCACTATCCTCATTTTCTGACCCCTTCACTTCCTTCTTCTTATATACATTTTTCTTTTTATAAATCCGTACAGCTATGGCCACAATGCAAAGTGGAATGAATATCACTACAGCGATCACACCTGGGAAGAGAAAAGAAAATAACAAAGTATATTTTGTCAAAAATGTTTTTTTCATCAAAAAACATTGCATAATTATAATGATTCTTGCAGCCCTTTACACTAGAGAATATGTTGCTATCTTCATGTAAGAACATCCTAGAATACATTGCAAGACTAATTATGATGTTGACACTGATGATGTTATCTAGTTTGGCAATGCAATGTATGCAAGAAAAAAGAGAGCACTAAGGACCCCATAGTTCTATCCTGAGCTACAAATATTCTCTTCTATTCATAAGAGTATGTATTACATAAGTATTACATAATATACTCATGGTCTAAAATTAATTATGTTTCTTTGTTCTTGGTATTATTAAATTATATATGGACAAACTTTCATTATTTCAGAACCTACTGATTTGTGTATGTGTGTTGGAGGCAAATGCCATAATGAGAATGAACAAGTTATTAATTAATATTGAACTCATCAATACATTGACATAGAAGTGAGTACATCTGGAGTACAATTACAATTGTTTAGTCTTTAATTGGACATGTGTATAGTTGTACTCCAACTTATACTAGAAGGGAAAACAGGACAGGTGGTAGCTTTATGAGTATTGGTGATAAAAGCTCTCTGGGCACGGTTGAATCTTTATTTAGCATAACAGATCTCACTAAGGCTTAATTACATCTTATTGTAGCTACAAGAAAAAAATATTTTCACTAGTACAATAATGTCATTCTAGAAATGTATTGTATGAATTGCATAACCCACTAACCTTACCATAATAACATTTGGCACTGAGATAATGTTACAAAGAACTGTCACCAACATAATCCAGTAATAGTAATAATCCATGAGTTATTATCTTCACTCTAAAGAGTCTTCATGATCTATTTTTGTCTTTTTTCCACTAGTGCATATTTCCTGAATTATGCTGACTTGGCCTACTAATAGGATACTTACTCACTAAAAATGCTAGCAATAGATGATATGAATAACATATTCACAAATCACACGCAGTCTATCTGTAGTCTTCAGGTGACATTCTTCTAAAATTAAATCCTTTTCAAATTGAAATTTTCTGTGCATTATGAATTTACTATTTTGTTCTTTTTCTAATTGGGAATTAAAGGTTGCAATCTTATAAAGGTTTTTGAACTTATATTTTGAATATTTGCATTACTGAAACCTGGCAGAGTTAGGGATGTATTAAACTCCAAATAATTCAATCCTAGGTTGTACCTAAAGGGCAACTGAAGGGAAAGGTGCCAAAGGTTTACCATCTTAAGTGTTTTAGCCAAATAAAGTAGAATAGGAATCTTGAAGTGTTGCTATGTAATATACTCTAAGTTTTCTAGTGCTGTGTTGAAATGCCATCAGTATGGTTTAACATGGAAAATCAGTACATACAGGAAATAAGATGATACGATTTCAAACAATCTGAAAGATAGCAAAATCACTATCTGACATTGCTGCTGCATAAAAGAAAAATTATATTGCAAAGTCCCACTCCCATAGAGGTCTTTGGAATTGTTTGAGTATGTATATACTGTATATATACATTTAGTAGACAAATTTTGGGGCTTGATTGTAACAGAAATATTCTCAGTAAGTCAATGTTTCCTACAAGAACTCAAACCACTATTGCAAATATAGGGTTACTAGAAGAGTGATTTTAAAAATAAATAAACATGTACTTAAATGTTGGAAGAAAATGAAACACTTAAAAAGCATTTCTTTTTAAGTCAATGCTGTGAACCATTGAGAGATTTTGAAGAAAAATTGGATCCATATTTCCACTACAGCTTGAACACATATCCTGAAGACATATAACCATTTGTGACTATCCAATCTAATTCCATCAGCTTCTAAAACATGTATACAATGTTAAACAAGTTAACAATGTAGAAATTTATTCGGTTATTTGGGTGCTCAGCTTCAGCACGTAGATTTAAATATTTGAAATGGTACATGCAATACAATTACAATTCCACTTACCCCCAATAATTGCAGAATCGCTCTTTATTACATTAGCTAATGGCTCTCCTTCATCCCTTGGTCCTGAATGATCTGTGCCAGAAACAGAAAGAAAAACACAGAGACAAAGAACAGGAATCTCAATAAATCTGCATTTTAATCCATAGATCCAACAGAGCTGCTATATCTATTACTGTAGGTATTATAATAGAATTATAAAATAGGGACACACACATTAAAAGATTACTACAAAGCTATTAACAAGGAAAGAATGATTGGTTTGGAAGCTACATGGTATATATGAAAAACATACATTAATATCCATACAAGATAGGAAATGACAAAAAGTGAGGATTTATAGAAAAGCCTCCCATATATGAACTTTTGGCACATAAGAAAAGACTGACTTTCTGAAACATTGTCAAGTATTCTTTTTCAGAGAAAATAAAATTAATAAAAGCCTTATGCTTGTTACCTGCAAATGAATGGGTTGTTTCACTTGATGTTGTATCAGTTCCTGTTAATGTCCCACAGTTGGATTCCATGAAATGTCCTTTAACAATGACTGGAGCTGAGCTGGGATAGTGGACAGCAGCCTTCAAAGGAGCAACATGATTGAATTGCACTGAAGAGAGACATCCAATAAACCCCTGAGAGTTTGCCTTTAGAGTATCTGGATCTACATCACTATTCTCTGCTAATAAAAAGAAACAGAGCACAATTAATCATTGTGAAATACACAGAACAAAGGGACAGATGAATAATTGAATAATTAACCTTAATCCCTCAACGTTTCTGTGGGCAGTGACAGCAGAGGCACATTTACCTATTTTATTTTTGTTCGCTTTAACAGAAACACAAGAAATACATTGCACACTTTTTAAAAAACTGATTTTTTTTTGCTAGAAAAGATATCAAATTACATAGCAAGTTCTTAAGCATAAATAAGAAATTCTGTTTATGTGGTGAAATAAATTTCCCTCCCTCCCAAATACATTTGTAGGAATCAGTATCTACTACACATTTGTACACACAGCTGTGGAATGTCTTTCGATATTCAACACAAATGCTTTTAAATTTTACAAATTGCAAATACTTTTTTTAGTGTTGTGAACGTTCTATTTTAAAAAATTTTCTTCAATAACATGCATTTCATCTGCACAAATAGAATAGTTTGACTAAAAGTTTACTTGCATAAGAATTATTTTCATATTACCTTATTCTCTGTTTGAATAGTGAAAAAGTCATATGAAAAAAGCTATTCTAATACATTCTGACTCGGGTAACATTCACTGGGGAAAATATCATCCTGCTAAGCATATATTTTCTTGAATGCTAATGCCAAACATTGTTTCATAAAAAATCAAATCTGTTTAATGTTCTGTAATCTATTAGAAGTCCATTTTTTTTGCAAATATTGTAGGTTTATTTTAAACAAAGCCTTTTGATGATGGTAATCACTGCTATTGTTTTAATATACACCTGTATGCTAATTTTTTCTATCTATAGGATAATGTGTGCAGAGTTCCATTTTAACATGCCAAGTGAAGATTACATTAAGTAGTGGCAGCATGTCAAAAAATGTCTTTATTAGAGCATTCTTTGCATGATTAAATCAAATCTCTATAATAATAGAAAGCTGAAGAAAAACATTCCAAATGGATGAATGAAGCAAGAAACGTAATACCAGATAGCAGTTCTGAGAATTTAGTTCAACATATCTGATATCTGGAGGATATCAGATTGACAAACACCAATTTCAATACTATTTAAATATTGATGGAATCAATATTGTGTAATAATTAGGTTGTAATAATAATGTGTAATAATTGGGTGAGGATTGGGAAAATCCAGATTTTTCAGCCATAGAACCTTAAATAGGTGTTGTTGTTGTTGGGTTCTTTTTTTTTTTTGGTTATCATCAATCCATGCCACTTGATAGAATTATTGTTGTGGGAATAAAATTGGCAGTGCAAGTATGAACTTAGCCAGTCAGATTCTGGCCATTTTTATAATCAACTCTATAGTCATACATATGTTTCATAGATATTTTCATAGATATCTACTTAGATATCTACTTAGATATGTTCTTTCATGATTTAGCAGATACTGAGAATTAATCTTTTCAGAACTTTAGAAAATGTTGGAGTACAGCTTGGGGTACAAGGTGAGGACAACAAGCTTTTTCTGATCCAATACCATTCTCATATGTGGAAGGATCATAGCAGGAAGCCTTCTGTAACTCTGGAGCTTGCCCATATACCTTGCAAAAGGTTGTTTAGTATGCTTTTGTTTAGAACTTTGAGCATGAGCTTACCACCCTAGATGTCTTTCTACAATGCAACTGATGTATGAAATAAATGGCACACAGGATGGCATTGCCTTTGAAAATTGCTGTTCTAAGCATAATGGCTTTATTTTATGGGTTGGATTGTAGTTACTACATTTTACTAATTTGTAAGGAGCTTTATTCTTTTCATCCCAGCCTCATCCTTGAAATGAGACAATTAGTTGAAACAAATAATTATTGTGTGTGCATATGTCCGTACATGTATAGACACGCAAATACAAATCTATAAATTAGACATGAAAATGAAAACTTTCTAGAAGGAAGTTCTAATGAAATGGAATCCATGTGAATCACTTTCAAGTATTTTTTTTTAGCTTTATCAGTTCTGGATGCTGTTTAAGAATGTTGATTTAAATATATATATGTATAAAAAACTAAAAGAGAAAATTATTTTTGTTTTTATTTTTAATCCAAAAAGTTAATAAATAATAGGATACACAATCTCTCTCTCTCTCTCTCTCTCTCTCTCTCTC